CCCCAATCTCCTCCACCCAGATCTACTATATCTCCGAGATCTCGCCCCTTCTCCGCATACCCCAATCCCCTCTACCGCCACGATTCGCTCTGTCTCCTCCTCCCTCGCCCCTCCAATCCACTCCACCTAGATCTACACTGCAATCGATATCTTCTAGTGGGTGGTAGATCTTTGCGTCATCTGACCTCCTAACCGGCATACTTTTGGAGCTACCACGCCATGGAGCAGCACTTACCCTAATCAACTGCGCCACCCGTGGAGCACCCAGGTTATTTTTCTCCACAATTTCATCCTGTCATCACTATCACACCTCCCCTGATTTATTTCATAAATTGCTTGGTTTGTTCCCCCACATCACTATCACCTCCTACCAATTTGCAGAATGGGTGATATAAATAAGAGGAAGAAATTAGCGCAAGAGAGTTGTAATTTTGGAATCTCAGACCTCCCGGATGATATGCTTGAGCACATAGTATCCTTCTTATCATTGAATGAGGCCGTGAGGACTTGTGTTCTTTCCAAGAATTGGAGCTACATATGGAAATTTGTGCCTACCCTACATATTTCTGATACAGTGGATAAATGTAACAGCTTAATAGACAATTTTTTGCGTGGCCATGGGAACACCGCAATCATTGTTTGTGATATCGAGTTGACTAATCTCGAGAAGGTAGAAATGCATGACATGATAGACACATGGATCTTTCATATCGTGAATCTTTGCCATGTTCAGGAGCTCAAAGTCATTAGCTGTATAGTGGATGATTTCCTAAAGTTCAGGGATCAAGCTCTCATCTCCAAGCACTTGAGGAGGTTAGAGCTTGATAAGGTTCGCTTACAAGCTAGCATTGTTGATTTCTCAACCTGCCCTGCATTGGAAGAAATAGATCTGATGTTTTGTTGGATTGAAGCAAATTACATTATATCAAAGTCATTAAAGCGCCTGATTGCAGTGGAATGTGAATTTGATAGTGTGGGTGCACGCACTCACATTTCTGTCCCCAACCTCATCTTTCTTAAGTTAACTGATATTTGGCATTATACTCCTTTATTTGAAGCCATGCCTTCACTTGAAGTTGGATATGTTAGTCTAGGCGAGGACTGTTTAGACTATTGTAACAACAATAAATCTTGGGGATGTGATAATGTGGACTGCGGTTTTGGTTGCACTGATGGTTACAAATATGATAGCATTCTTCTGGAAGGTTTATCAAATGCTAGTTACTTGGAGTTGCTAAGTGAACCAAGCATGGTATGTTTGCACTTTTTGGGCATCCCCATTGTTGATATTGCCTTGCTCTTGCAATCTATGGTAGATTATCCACCAATTGAATTACTTATATTGTTTTGTAACCTTTTCTATTGAAGTAACATGCAATCAAAATGTATATATGCATTACTCTAACACTAGAAACAACATACATGTCGATTTCTACTATTATGTTCTAGTGGGCTGTTATTTTGGATTTCTTGGAACACCATACAAGAATATTAATCTATAGAGCCCTGAACACCATGTAACTTGAAACCATATATTAGAGTTATTATATTTTAAAAATTAGGATTCTTTGCATATTGCCAACATTGGTATGTCTAATTATTTATTAGAGATAAGAAATGCATATAGTTTTATTGCTTTCACCAATTTACTATAATCAACTTTGGCTATTACATGTTTCAATACTAGAACGCATGGCTTTCCACACTTGCACATAATTAATACACCTAAGAATACATCATTCTTATTCTCTTTTATCTAGTTCATTTTTGATAGGGATTTGCGGCGATGCCCTACATTTCGAAACTTGAGGACACTGATACTCAACGAATGGTTTTTGGTTGCTAACCTCCATGGACTTGCACGCGTTCTTCACAACTCACCTATTCTAGAGGAGCTGAATCTCCTACTTTTAGAGGTATGGCCACTATGACTATATCTTTTCTGAAAATTGATTCTTGGTCGATAACATTTATGAATTTATTTGTCTACTCTAGGAGCCTAAAGAGGTGGTCGAATCTAACGGGGACCATTATCAAGTGGAACATCCCTTATTGGAGACCCTTAAGGAAGTCAAAGTCAATTGTGAAAGACAATATATGTGGGTTCAGGAAATAATAAATATTTTGATTACTTTTGGTATATCGCCTGAGATAATTATCGTCAAAGAGAGCCAAATGCATCCAGATGTCATTTAGCTATTGGTATGTACCCTGAATTCTAATTTATCTCCATAGTTTACCTTGTTCACAAATAATATTATGTGGGAACTAAATGTAAGATTTATATTTAATCGCAATAGCAATCTTAATGTTGATCCAAACAAACATAAATATGTTTCCACATTTGGCGAACCAGAATGGAGGATGATATGCAAGTGGTGTACAATATGGTTTTTTACAAATCATGTCAGAATGTGCCCATGATACTTTCCTGGTCATAAGTTGAAGTTTTCTTCTTGCATGTATTCCTTCTATTACCTTCATAGATAGAACTTGACATGACACTGCTACAAGTTTGGAAAAATTATTAGCTATCATGGGTCTAAACATTTTTATAGCGCTTCTTCGTGCACCATATTTATAAATCGATGTCTTTATGATCGTCTGCGCCAACCCCACATATAAATAACACCATGTATATTTGTTTCGATCAAAACCTTCCTTGGTTTAAATATTGCTCTTTAGGTTGTGTGTGTTGCCCCAATCCATAACACGAAATAGTTTAAGAAAGAAAATGAAGTGGTATAAAACACATGACATATGTATTTAGGAACAAATTACTATGTATAATTACATGCATTGAACACACAAAATTTACAACAAATTGATTGAAGCTAAATATACAAGCCTCCACACCATACTTAAGTGCTTATATTATTTTTCTTTCTATGCATACCGCAAAGATAATTCTAGTTTCATAATGTTCCAAGAAATCACATGAATATTTAAAATATCTTAAAATAATTCTAAGCCATTTGAGTTCACATCCTAAGATATACGAACTTCTCTTAGTACTGAAGTGAATCACAATGTCTTTACTCATATAATTGTTAAGGATAGTCAAGCAGTTCACATAATGACTATCTTTTAGCGGAGAGCACGACCATAAACATGCATATCACATACTGTTTAGAAACCACAACAAAGATGTGTTGCGAACCATATGTTGTTAGATAGTTATAGGTCCTTGTATTTAGGATCCGCCATAAATGATACTTTAATTAACTGTGATACACAAATGTCAAAGATTGTTGGATCTAGGAGATGCATATGATTTCTCCTGCATAATACATGATCCGATCTTGGATTTGTCATCTCTTAACTTGTCATCGACCCATCGTCACACATATCATTCATCACATAACATGTCCATCCCACAAGAAAATTTGGGAACACACGTAGTACACACATGATACACAAAGCATTCATCACACATAGCGTAATGGCATTTGTAGTCAAAGATCGAAGAAGGGAGAGGCTCCAGGTTAGCGATTAGTACACATTCGATCTTATGCCATTTTTAGTTGAAGATGAAATGAAGGAGACACTAGTAGAAAACATAGCTTTGGTTGAGGCCTGGCCAGCCCATTAGTCCAGGTTCTGTCACGAACCGGCACCCATGGGGGGCACACGTCCTGGTTCGTGCGCCCAGGGGGCCGGCCGGGCCTCGGGAGGCATTTGTCCCAGTTCGTGTGGACCCATTTGTCCCTGTTCTAGGCACGATCCAGGACCAATGGTCCTCGCTCCTGGCCCACAGCCATTGGTGCCGGTTCGTGCCTAGAACCGGGACAGAAGGTGGGCCTTTAGTTTCGGTTCCAGCCACGAACCGGGACCAATGAGGTGGCTATATATAACCCACACTCGCGAACAGAGCACTCCACTGCTCTGTTTTTCTGGACGGCGAGAGGAGAGCTTTGTGGTGCTCTAGCTCACCTCCTATGCACATGAGGTGTTCGATGAAATGCCTGAGCCACACTAGTTAAGCTTTCTCCTCTCGAAACTCGACCTCCAAGCTCCATTTTCCCTGAGATTTGTCTAGGTTTAGCGGTCCATCACGTCCCATTCCCGTCTTCACCACCGTCGATCGCCCGCGCAGATCTCATCACCGGCACCATCGTGGTGAGCCTCTTGTTCAAATTAGATGTGGCAGATGCGGGATGAACTCCTACCACAAGATCGCATGAAAGCAATTCAAGAGGAATTGGCGGGATTCTTTCTTGATCACATCATCAATAAAGCCGGAGAATACCATGTGGAAGTTGAGTTCAGTTATTAGGGGATTGTAAGAGATCTTATATTGTATATATTTAACCAGTAGTAGCGTCGGATAGATATACGAAAACTTGTTGTTCGACCAATCTCTCGGAGGAGAGGTCGTTATCACTTCTCTATGTATGCATATGTTCATGACGATCTTCTGTACTTAATGATTTCCTTCATTTGCTTACTAGCTAGCGTGTCGAGACCTCTCTATATGTATAGTACGTAGCATCGACCAAGCACGGAGATATCTCTCTATTAGCTAGCCAACACAATATATGAAACACCTAAATTAACCTACAAACCCCCTAAAACCACCAAACCCCCCTCCCCTTCAGAAAAAAACAAAAACCGTAGCCCCCTGAAATCCTGACGCGTGGTAGCTTATTGGTCCTGGTTGGTGCCACCAACCGGGACAAAAGGCCCCCCTGCCTGGGCAAGCCGCAGCGTCCACGTGGAGCCCCATCTGTCCTGGTTAGTATAAGAATCGGGACTAAACGTATTAGGCTTTAGTACCGACCCTTTAGTCCCGGTTCCCGAACCGGGACAAATGGGCCTCATGAACCGGGACAAATGGGCCTTTTTCTACTAGTGAGAGGGTCCATGTCAGATATTAGTACACCAACGATCTTATGATCCACTAGAAGGTTGTTGACGATAATAGAGAGAAGGGTAGTGTACGGATGTATAGGTCTATAATCAGGGAGGTATATCGTACCAACATGAACAAACATAGTCCACATATGAGTGTCTAGACACATTACTCTGGTAACATACATTCAAGAGGTCTGGAAGATGGAAAGGGGGTTTGTTTCCTTGTATTTCAAATATATCTCTGGAAGGGGAATAAAAGGAACGAATAATTTCCTAGCTAGCTTCCTCTGGATCTCCATGAATTTTTTTGGTCTTTGTTGACAAACTCCCCCAACTTCCAGTGGTGTAGATGAGGAGGTGGGAGTCATTATGATCCATAAATGACCTAAATTTTCACCGGGGATTGCATGTAAAGGGTTGCGACTTTATCCAAGAATTGGGATAATGACTTACAAACCAAGTCAACATATCTTTGACAAAAATCATCACGTGTTTCCTTAAAAACATGCAAGCACCTAGTGGGGATCTTGGTTGCGAGCACCTAGTGGGCAAATCTAACTGCTTAGGTAGTCATCGGAGGTGTAACAGTTGAGGATACCTTTGTTGGTGATGATTATAATATGTTTAACTGTCAAGTGAGTTTCTCCTGAAAGTGGTGGGAAGGATCAGTAGTCATCGAAAGCAAAAAATCATCTTCTCCTATGCTGGACCACCGTGGGGGTTTTGCAGTAGCGGTAGGTAATTTTGGGTCTTGAGCTAACCTAGATTTCTCGGCCGAAATTAGGATGCAACAAATATACTTTTTTGAGCAGAGACGAGACGGCTAGCTTCGCCCACTACCTCCACCCTATCGCTACTTCCTGTAGTTCTTATACATTAAGTAAGGTAGTCGAACATCTCCAACGAGGGATGCATTCCTACACTAGTAGAAAAAGGGTCAAATATGAGAAACATTAGTACAGGTTGGCATATGAGCCGGCACTAATGCTTCCATTAGTGCCGGTTCAAATGACTAGGCGGGAGGAGACCTTTAGTACCGGTTCAGTGCAAATCTTTAGTACCGGTTCGTGCCACGAACCGGTACTAAAGGTGCTGGCCGGGCACCAGCATCTTTAGTACCGGTTCGTGGCATGAACCGGTACTAAAGAGGTTGTGGAAGGCGCTATTTTTAGTCCCACCTCGCTCCCCTAACAAGAATTTGACCACCTTAAATATGTTACTTCTCAAACTACATGTTGAACTCGATGATATTTTTGCTTCTGGTACAAGTGAATGTTTCTTCTTTAAGCTACTGTTGGTGGTGATTAGATAGCGGTAATGACTATGATGATTAAATAGTGATAATGACGACTACGATGATTTTTAGCTAGCTAGCTGGAGTATATATATACTCATGTTGATGATATGATGCAAGAGTTTTTATATTAATATGATGATGATGATGATGAGTTATTATATCATTTAATGAAAGAAAACCACAGATTAGTTTCAGCTGGATGGATCCTACCTAAGTGATCAAGTATATATATGTCATATACTTGATCACTTAGCTAGCTAGATCATGTATCCAGTCGAAACTAATCCGCGGTACTTTCACCTAATGATTTAACAACTCATTATAATGTAAAACAATCACTAAATTAAATTAAAACACAAAATTAAGGGAAAATTAAAAAAACATCCAAACATTTAGTACCAGTTGGTGTTACCAACCGGTACTAAAGTCCTACGCGCACCCGGGCCTGGCGCGTGCCACGTGTTTGTACTTTAGCGCCGGTTCATGACGAACCGGTACTAAAGGGGGAGACCTTTAGTCCCCACTCTTTAGTGCCGGTTGGCGAACCGGCACTAAAGGCCGTCACGAACCGGCACTAAAGGCCGGTTCTGCACTAGTGCTACCCATAACTCAACGCGATGTGCAAATACCAACTATTATGAGATGTATTTGGGGTTCAAATTCACCAACTCTAAATATTTCTACTTTAAGAAGTCCAATTGGGCCATGATGCAGTCCTCGGTGGGGTTGGGGAGCCAGTCCTTCTTGGCCAATAGACACCGCATCAAGCTTGTCGAGACGAGGAACCCTTAGTATACTGGCACATTTGTAAGCAGAGAGCACTGAAACCTCTCAGTTTATTACTAGACCAAAGTTTAAAATCGAATTCCTCTTCATCCACTTTTTGTTTTTATACATAACGTAAAAGCTTACACATATGTACATAGTGGTGATGGTTGTCTCTCCTTGTGTAAAACACAAGGTATGCGTCCTACAGAACATAAATGTAAAGAACTACTAGCAGATGGAAAGATATTAAAGTAGCCAAGAAATTTGCCCAACTTCT